CCCAGATTCCATCTTTTTTTAAAGCAACTTCTTTCTTTCTTTTTTAAATATATATATTTTTATTGATTTCAGAGAGGAAGGGAGAGGAAGAGAGAGATAGAAACATCAATGATGAGAAAGAATCATTGATTTGCTGCCTCCTGCACGCCCCACACTGGGGACTGAGCCCGAAACCCAGGCACGTGCCCTTGACCGGAATCGAACCCGGGACCCTTCGGTCCACAGGCCAACACTCCGTCCACCGAGCCAAACCAGCTTGGGCTGCACTCTGTTTTTTAAATTGACTTTTGGAGTCAATACTTTTCTTCTTTTCCAGGAAACACATTGTAAGGTCTTTGCTTAAACTTCCCGGGGAAGCCCTTTCTGGACTCCTTACTTAAAGGGACACCACCTCTCACCCTGGGAAATGCTATGCCTCTTCCTGATGCATTCTTCTCCATAGCACTTACCACCATCTAACCTACCACGTATTTTCTTCTTCTTTTTTTAAAGATGTTTCTTATTGATTTTAGAGAGAGAAGAAGGGAGAGGGAGAGAGAGATAGAAACATCAGTGATGAGAGAGAATCATGGATCGGCTGCCTCTTGCACGCCCCACACTGGGGACCGAGCCCACAATCCAGGCACGTGCCCTGACGGGAATCCAACCTAAGTCACACCGGCTGGGCCACATATTTTCTTGCATATTTTCATTACTTTTGTTTTCCTCACACGAGGAAAAGGATTTCCGGGAGGTTTTGTTCACTGCCGTACCTCCAGGACAGTGCTGGACACACAGTAGGTGTTCAATAAATATGCCCTTTAAATAAATCTGTACTCTTACCAAACAAATAAATGCAAAACAACCTAGATTTACTTTAGGACAAATCATAAGAACTCTCCCAAAATCTCTCTCTTACAAATTACAGTACATTTGTAATTTAACTCAAAGAATTTTAAACTCATATTTCACATTTTATGATTCATAGGTTAAAATGGATTATTCTTGTTATATAGCTTTTAAAAGAGACATGTTTTCTTCTTTGCCAACTGCAAACAGTAAGTCTGGCACAAAATGTCTTAAATCTCAGTAATAACTTAAAGATGGAAACAACATCATTAAATATATGATAATTGGGAAGGATCAAGTAATACTATCTCTTTGCTTAACTGTAAGTCCGTTTTTACCCAGCAATTCTAAAGATTAAAAATTAAGACAAAAACCTAACTGAAGGGAGCCCTGACGTCCAGCAGGAGACGGGGAGCCTCCCATCTCCAGGGCAGTTTCGGGTTTGCACCAGGCTCGGCGACACCGTTCGGGTGTATGGACGTGAGTGTTGTCCTGCCCGCCCTCTGAGGAGGGGTCTGGCTTTGCAAGCAGTGACTGGCTTGCTGGCGAGCACGTGGGCAGCACAAAGTCATATCTACTCCACAAATGTCCTCCCAAAGGACGATAAGGACATGGTGGGAGGCAAAGCTGTGACCGTCACGGATGCCAGCAGGAACGGACCCAGCCCACCCTGCCGCCCTCTTTCTCTGGCCACTCGATGCTCACGTCAAATGTCTGTGCCTGAGGGGAAGGCTCCAGATCTGTGGTCTCTCCCACCCTGTCATGCGTCTCCTAAGGATGTGCCTCAAGTAAGTACGCGCCAGAGAGGCCGCGACGGCTCTGGCCAGGCAAGTGACCCCAGGCCACTCATCGGCCTGTCAACAGGCTGGTGGTTGGGACCCGATGAACTAGGCCAGAGGCATTACCTGGCACCCAGCAGGCAATCAGTCATTCACACCAACAAAACCAGGCTCCATCTTACCAAGCATGTCACCAACACAGGGATCGGCACGATCGTCCTCCCATGACCTGGCTCCGGTCCCAAGAGCTCCTACGTCCCGGCCTCCGCACGACTTCCCAATCCAGCCTCTGCCACCCTCGGGTCGGACCACATCCCTCGTTTGTTCAAAACTGCCACAGTGTGTGTGTGTGCTCAGGCTGACTTCCTCCCAGGCCTACCTTCTTCATCTATGAGCAAAGCAGCCCAGGCACCCAGTTCTCCCTGGGTGTTGGCTCTGCCCACCGTTCCTGCTGTTGCCCTTGCAGTCTCCCCACAGATGTCTGCTTCTCCACATCCTACCAGCCTCCCAGGGAGGTGCACACGCCCCTTCTCCATAGAGCTGCCTGAGCCTGACTCAGAAACAGCGGTGCTTTCCTAGAAGTGAACCCCGTGGTATTCTGTACCTGTTAGAGCACGGCCCCTGCCTTCCATAGAGAGCCAGTCCCCTGCGTGATGACAGCTCCAAGTTGCAGGGACCATGTCTCAAAAAAAAAAAAAAAAAGCCCTCTGCTCCTGGGACAGCGTCCTGCACATGTCATGTACCAATAACAGTTGGTGGAATTGGAAATCTGGTGTCTGACCGAGAGCAATAGAAAAGTCAAGGGCGAACCGTATTCCCGCACAACCTGTTTGAGCCCCGCACCCTCATTCAGCAGCGGCTGCACCCTGGATCCCGGGGAGGCTCCAGTCTGATTCCCATCCCCTAACAGCAACCACCTCTACAACCTGCACAGACAGCAGGCCAAGCGCAGTCACCCCCACACCAGGGCGTCTACCCCCTAGCTCCTCGGGACTAGCCAGGAAAGCTCAAGGAAGACGGGCTGTATTATTGGGGGGTATGCAGGGAGGAAACGATCCCTTTCTTATTCTGGGAAGACACTAAGCTCCTTGCACATAAGACACAACTAAGTCCCCCGGCCATGCACCGTCCCTTCACTGCCATGGGCAGTTCTGACCCATCGCCTGTGCCCCCCGCGAGGCTCTGGGGATTCCGTCTGAGCAGCAGCTGCACCCAGCGCTCAGGGGCCAGACCATCGGGTTTGCGTGCACAGGACGAGCTTCTAACCCGGAACGCTCTGCAGGGGCGGATGGAACACGCCAACCGAAACTTCCCGCGGGCCCTGGAGGCCCTGGAAACCTGGGCGCGCTGGGCAGGGGCGGGAAGGACGGCGTCGCGGGGGAGAGGCTTTCACAAGCCATCGTTACCGCCACGGCAAGGCTGGCCGGCACCGAGAGCCGCACCTGGGACACTCTGGACACGCGCCCTGCGGGGAGGGGGCCGAC